AAAATTAAGTTTATCAACCTAATTAACATTAATAATTTAAATAAATTAATATGTTAGGCCAAACTTTAAAAAAGTAACTTATAAAAAAAATATAGATAATAAGTTTAGACTTTTAATAAATCAGATTTAGACTTTAATTTTACAAAACACTCGGCCTATATATTTAAAATTTGGTCTATCCAAACCTATTTCCATCACTACTCATACTAATCCAATCATCGACCACTAAAATCACCATAAATTCATACATTATTATTTTTATACACACATTCAAAAGCATATAAACTAAAATATATTTTCACTAAATTTTAAAATATTAAGTATATAATAAATCATAATAACATAAAATAATATATATATATATATATATATATATATCATTAATAATAATAATAAATAAAAAAGAAGGGAGTATTAACCGGTTAAAATAAAAAAGATAGTTAATTAATTAAAAAAATTAAACTTGCTCGTAGTTAAAAAAAAAATTACATCGTATAACAGAGGTAACGAGATTCATATTACCTTACCTTGCTATCTAAAATTAGGGCAACATCTAACCTGAAAGCTGCTGCTTATAAAACCCTTCTAAGCGCCTCCTTTCTCTCCCTCTCTCTCAAGTAGAAGACAAGGCTTACCCATTCTCCATCTGGTATTCAACTATTTCTCTCACTTTCTCTATTCTCCATTTCTTATCTTCAATTTTTCCTCCTTAATTTGCTTCTGTCTGTCACCAATTTTAATTTTCAATAATTTCGAACCAATCCCTATTTCCCAATTTTATGTTTTTATTTTTTCAATTAGTATTGGTGCGGAAATTCCCTTAAAAGTATTTTTTTTCCGCTTTAAATTTGAGTTTTGATTGGCTTGAATTGATTTCAGTTGACTCTTTTTTAATTAGAATTAAGGGTTTAACATTTGTTCATACACTTGGAACAATGTAATATTACATCGGGAATGGGTTGGTGAGAGCATAACGGAGCTGTTCTTAGGCAGGATTTTATAGTTCTTCGAGTTTTTGTTCAGTTTTTGGATTTGGGCATGCTGATGTTATTTTTTCACTGTTAGCTCTGTGAGTGAGGGTTACAGGAGAGGGAGGGAGAGAACTGTTTCAGTTGTTGACATTGTCACATAATTATTGTAGTCAAAATTCTGAGATCAGTGGTGATTTTTTTTTCAAGCTTTGTTTATGATTTATAAATTCTTAAATTCTTTGCCCTTGTAACCCTATGAATTTTGGGTTGGGTTGCCACTTGCATGTAATAGGATTTTGGATAATATTTTCACTGTGATATTGTCTTTTAACTCGTGAGTATTTAAGGAAAAAAAACAAGAGAGGGAGTGGGGAGGTGGAAGACTGTTTCAGTTGTTGGCACTGTCTCAAATTTATTTTTCTGAGACTTACTGAATATTCTGAGACTTGTGGTTATCTTTTCTTTTCTGTTTATGATTTTTCTATATTCTTAATTTTTGCATATTTTAGATTTCTTTACTGTAGTAACCCTATGTCCATATGAATATTAATTTGGGTTGGCATTTTCTTGTTATAGGATTTTGGAAAATATGATTGCTATAATTCTTATATTTATTTACTGAGGTTCTGATAGTGGCATTTGTTTTATGAAACAGATTGATCAAAATGTATACTTCGAGGAAGAAAATTTCCAAGGATAAGGATGTTGAGCCCACTGAATTTGAGGAGACAGTTGCCCAGGTTATTTCCTTTTCTGTTTCTGTAGAATAAATTTATTTCATGACTCAAAGATTATCTTTTATACTGAAACTCTGTTGTTTGATGCCTGTTCAGTACTTGTTTGACTTGGAGAACACCAACCAGGATCTGAAAAGTGACTTGAAAGATCTCTATATAAATCAAGCAATGTAAGGATGTTGTGAATAATCAACTGATGTATGTTTGGTCATAAAAGCTTTTCTCATCATAAGGATAACTTATTTCGTGCAGTCAAATGGATTTGGCTGGTAATCGCAAGGCTGTAGTCATCTACGTACCTTTCAGATTGAGGAAGTCATTCCGCAAGATTCATCTTCGACTTGTCAGGGAGTTGGAGAAGAAGTTTAGTGGGAAGGTTGTATTTTACTGCAATGTACCATGATATGAGATTAATTGGTCTTTGGTTTCTCTATTCTATTGTTTTCCCCACTGTATTTGTTTACCATATCACATTATGGTTATAGTATTAGTGAGTTCCTGGATCAATAAATTGCGTTAACTGAAGATTGTATCAAATGACAGGATGTTGTCTTGATTGCCACAAGAAGGATCTTGCGGCCACCAAAGAAAGGCTCTGCTGTTCAGCGCCCCCGAACCCGCACTTTGACTGCTGTCCATGATGCCATGCTGGAGGATGTTGTGTATCCTGCAGAGATTGTTGGCAAACGGGTCAGATACCGACTTGATGGGTCAAAAGTAATGAAGGTAAGTGTTTGTGAAGTTGATGTAATTTAAAAGTCCTTTACTTTTTTGTATCCCATATAACTTGCAATTTGTTTCTTGTTGTCGTTGTATCAATTTTAGGTTTTCTTAGACCCCAAGGAACGCAACAACACTGAGTACAAGCTGGAGACTTTTTCTGGAGTTTACAGGAAGCTTACTGGAAAAGATGTAGTATTTGAGTATCCAATCACAGAAGCCTGAGATGCTGCTTGGTTTCATGGAGTCTTATTTTTTCTTTTTTCTTTTTTTGCAGATTTGTCTGTTAGATTTACATATTTTGCTTAATTATCCAAAATTTTGACTTCTGGAATTTTATTTGATGCTTCTTCACCTTGATGACATTGAAATTACTAGAGTATTTTCTGTGGCAATAGAAAGCATTTAGGCCGTGCTTGACGCGGCCTTGAGTTTAAATTAATTGGCTTTCTTTGGCTTAATGTTGAAATTTGGCACTATGGCGAACTGTTGTGTTTTCCAAAGTGAATGTTTGGTTAGAATTGTTTTTGGAAAACAAATCTCTTATTTTCCAAAGGCACTCTCAGATAGTGACTGTAAGCGATTATATATTTAGTTTCAAAATGTATTGAATCAAACATATTAAATTGTCAATTTATGTGCTATTAGTGTCTTGGGAGTGACACCTTTTGGTTATCTTGAGATATAAGAGTTTTGATAGTCATTCAAATTATTTCTTGATACATGGAACCGTTGAGGGGTTTGGCTATTTTCGTAACATGTTTGTTGAGTGACATCTCAACCCTTCATTTAAAATAAGAGAGAAATTATTTAAATAATTAAAAATAAGGTATGGAGTTTTGATGATGAAAATCTCGAGAGAATCTATTCTCGTGTACTTGGATGAGGCTTATGTGGTCTTAACCGGTGTAGTTTTTCTTCAGTACTGTATCTTTAGCAAAATATAAATCATTTGTGGCATGTATTGAATTCGGATTTTGAAAAACAATTAAAAAACAATTTTAACATGAAATTTTTTTGTGAATTTTAATGAATTTTTAAAAGGAATGTTATAATTTTTAGGATTTTTTTTAATGAATTTTAATGGATTTTGATGAATTTATATTATAAGATTTTAAACAATTTTATGAATTTTAGTGAAAAATATGGATTTATAATACTATAAATATTTTTGAAAAAATATAAAAAAAAATAATAAAGAAAAGTAAAAATTAACACAATTTTTTTAATCTTTTGACAAATAATTGTCTTTATTCATATAATTCATTTTAATATCCTCCTAATTAACATTTCTTCACATTTAAAGTTATATTAGTCATGTATGCATTGGTGTTTTTTTTCTTTCATGAACTTGAATCTGAACAATATATTTAAAATTATAGTATATTGAAAATGAAAATTCATCCACTAATTCAATTAAAAATTTATCAATATTCTTTGTAAAGTTATATATTGCTACATGATAATACAAGCTCATTTTGTGTCTTAAATAGAAATAAAGATTTTAACTTAAAAATTGTGAAACGTATTTAAAAATACTAAATATTTTCTCAATCACATTTCTTGAGAATATATGACGTAAATTGAAAACTTCATTTTTATTTTGAGGGTCATTACCATGATATGCAAAGTCTTTTTAATATATGTTTCAAAATTTTATATTTCAATATTAAATTTTCTTAAAAGTAAATAGATAAATTTTAATAATTTAAAATTTTAAACAATAAATAATATTTAATAATACGACTTTTTTTTAAAATATTTAATAATTGAAAAGGCAAATATTGATAAATTATATATCAATTGATAGATTAAAAAAAAGATAGGAAAAGAAGAAGAAGAGATAAATAAAAGAGAAAGAGAGAGAGAGAGGGAAAAAAAAAAGAAGCAAGAAAGGTGATAGAGAAGGAGAAAGAAATAAAATATGAAAAAAAAAAAAGAAGAAAGAAAAAGAAAATTAAGGATAAATGAGGGAGATAAATAAAAAGAAAAGGAAAAAAACGAGATAGAGAATATAAAAAGAGAGAGACAAGTATGAATCGTGAGAGAGAAGAGATAAAAAAAGAATATAAAAGAGAAGCAAGAAAGACGAGAGAAAAAATTTAAGAGAAAAAAAGAGAGTAAAAGTAGAAGGCAACAAAATCATACAAAATCTTAAAAATTTTGGTAAAATTATTTGATAAGTGAATTACAGGCAAATTATACTAAAAAATATCACAAAATTTAGTATTTAAAATAATCTATTAAAATCTCTATATTTTTGAATACCAACAACTTTTTTAAGTAAAAAAAATGTTAATTGAATATAATTTTATTGGATTCCTAAAAAAATCTTATTATTTTAATTGAATATCATCATATTTTGATGGGCCCTTAAAAAAGTTCTAATTGTTTTAATTGAATTCCACATAATTTTTTATATTAATTTTTTAATAAATATCATAAAATATTTTTATAATAAAAAAATATTTTAAAATATATTAAAATCCTAATCCAATACATCCTTTAGATTTTTATAATTAGGAATGAACAGGAAATTTTGCATACAATAACAACATTTAAGGCATGCATAATTTTTTTTAAGTTACATTATAAATAGGTATAAATAACAATATAGACACGCAAATAATTCAAAGGCTTTTACAATACCACTAAAATACAAGTCAATCTGGCTCTTTATAAAGCATTTTTCTCTCTGTATAATAAAGTGTTTCAATCTGTTATGTAACACATAATTGCATGATTGGGTCCCAAAAAGTATATTATTAACCACATTAGGAAGCTTGAAAGAATCTGCTGTTAACCCCAGCCCTGAACAGATGCAACTCAGATGTGCTACTAACACTTATCTCAGTGTTGGCAGCCACAAAAAGAACATCCCCTTCAGTGATTGGATACCCTTTTGGTGATTGTGTATTCATCATTCCTTCCCCAACTGTGACCAAAAAGATGGAAGGACCTGGAACTGCTGGGAACACTGCTATTTCACCTTGAGGAAGAATACCACAATCAATCTCAAATTCCTCAAAGGGTGGGATGTATTTCCTTACATAAGGATTTATAGAAACTCCTCGTAGGATCTCAGGAGAACCCTGCAAGAGTAAACAGATATAAGAAAATTGACAACATATAACAAAAAAAATATGTATATGATTTTAGAGTCTCATCTGCAACTTATAATAGCCTTTAATACAGATTACAGACCTTTATTAAACAGATAACCAAAATCAAATTTTTATTCAGTTTAGAATCATCTATTGTACTTAAGAATCTTCATCTAAATTTTGTCTTTTACAATTTACCTGTTTGTATGTGAGCATGGAACAAAGTGTCTGAACATCTCTGTGCTTGGGAGTGAGCCCAGCTCTCACTACATTATCTGATGTTGCCATACATTCAATGCACTCACCACAAATATATGCATGTGGTTCATTTGCCCCAAGGAACAAGGCTTCACCTGGAGAGAGTTTTACATGGTTAAGAAAGAAGGCTGCAATGACACCAACATCTGATGGGTATTGCTTTTCCAAGCGCAGCACCAGTTGCTCCTGAACTGTCAACTGCCTCACCTGATGATGCACAAAATTAGCATATTATGGTATTGATTAATCACATTGGCAACATGGGCATGTAACAAAGAAATAAAACATAAACTATTGATTCATAGCAACTTAAAGAGATATGCATCTGAATGCTGAAATATGACCCCAGCTACATATTTTAGCTGCCACAACATGCTACATTCAATACAAAAATCAATTTTTGAAAAGTAGAGGAATCAAAACCAAGGAAAAAAAAAATGATTAAAAAGTAAGTAGTATATGTAGCCGTTAACGAAATATATTATATGCCAAAAAGAACTACTAAGCACTATCTATTATAATTTGTTTGGATACAAGTTTAGAAGAACTTTTGATAGTTTTTTTACTAAAAATAAAGAATTTTTTCTAGTAGAGAAACTCTCATAAGCACTTCTAGCTTGTGAGTGGTTTTTCCTTGAGCAATATTTCAGATATAAGTCTTGTGAATGAAAAAGGAAGACATGGAAATAGTTTTATCCCTTCAAATGAGTCTCTATGAGTACAAGAAAAATTATCTTTTGGGTCATAATTTGAGCCACTAAAGTAAGGAACATGGTCACTATATAAATTCATTGACTGAATTAGAGACTGATTTAAAACAGTTACTAAATGACTAATCAGTGATATTTAGCAACTGATCTAAAGAGTAATTTTTCAGGGTAAACTGATTTAGTGAACACATCTAGCGATGGATATTAGTGTCATATTTAGCAACCAATTTTCTCACTTTATTGACGACATTTGTTTCACATGTACAAATTATATAATGTAATGTGGTAATGCATTGTTCTAAATTGTGGTTTCAATCATGATTGAAGTTGTAGTTGTGGCCACTGTAATTGCGGCTGCTGCAATTCGGATTGCAACCGTTGCAACTTGAATTATTATATATTTGTCCCGAACATAAACAAATAATTATATAATAATAAAAATCAATCAATTTTTTTTATGATTTTTCACTCCAAACCCCTTTCTCCCTTTCCTAAAATGAATCATGCACCTCCCAACACTCCAACAAACATCATTAGTTGCCTGCCTCCCTCTCTTAACATCTCATTTGACTAAACTTATTAAATTAGAAGATTAAAACTTATATCTATGTGTTTTTTTTAACAAACAAAAGTGGAAGAAAATGGTGTTGCAATTGCAGTGTGGAATTTTCAATGATTTAAAACCACATCGCAGTTGCAGGTTGTTGCAGTTGTCAAAAACACCACAACAACAATATTGTGGTCGCAACAGGTGTTGTGGACCGCAATTTAGAACCCTGCTGTGATGTAATAATTTAGGGGGATAAAATTAGTGAGACACAAATTAAATTATCCTATAAGCTAAAAAATTGAAATCAAACAGAAAGCAAGTTATATAATAACCAACCTGACTTTCCCTACGCAGACGATTTCTCAGTCTGTCTACTGCAACCGTTACTCTCTCTTTACTTGCTGAGATGATCTCAGTAAAAAGAGTCTGCAAAATAGGCTTAACCTTCTCTTCACCATCCTCATCAGTGATTTGTAACACCAAGAAAAATTGAAATAAAACAGAAAGCAAGTTATATAAAAACCAACCTGACTTTCCCTACGCAGACGATTTCTCAGTCTGTCTACTGCAACCGTTACTCTCTCTTTACTTGCTGAGATGATCTCAGTAAAAAGAGTCTGCAAAATAGGCTTAACCTTCTCTTCACCATCCTCATCAGTGATTTGTAACACCAAGTTAACATTTTCAACACCAACCAGTTCCACAACCTCAGGGACAGTAAGCACAGCCTTAATCTCCTGAATAAAATTACAGGAAATTGTTAACTTGCTTCAAGTTAATAACAGCCAGAAAAATATTTGTCTCACATCATTTGTTTCTTCACTATCTTGTTACTCTTTGCATAATGTCTAATCAAGGTGACATGAAATGATAAATATTCTAAGTTCTAACATTTATCATAAAGGACATTAAACTTCCACTATATTAAACTCAAATGGTTATTATTTGATGCTCTAAATTGTTTGGTGGAATATCAAGGTTGCACTCACTCGATAGAAATATTAAGGGAAAGTCAAGTCAAAAGAAAATGTATGTTCAAGTCACATCATCATATATTATGGAATTATACCTAACAGGTGGACAGTTCTTTTCCAATCACCTACAAACTGAACTGCATAAGTACCAAAATAATGAAAAATTATTTTAACTTTGAACATACCAAACAGTCAAATAAAAACTCCATTTGTAAGTGATCATCAATGACAAGACTCAGCAAAATCCAGGGCAAAAAGTTACAACCTCAACTTCTATAACTACAAATAACAAAACACAAATTTCTCTCAACAAAAACAAATACCTGTCCTAGTCATTAGAAAGTAAAAGTTCCCTCAATACAAAGTAGAGTTATGTTTATAACACGTGCACACTCGCAGAAAAATATGTATAAATCAATTTTTATCTGTACACAATACTCTTAAAAAATTTTCTCAAATATTATTTTTTCCTCAAATCAAAAGGATGCAAGGAATAGGATACATTACCGTAAGAGTGACAAAGCCACATAGAGCCTCAAACTCTGTCACAGCCAGAGCCATTTCCGGTTTGTGATTCCCATCCTTATAAACATCAGGGTGCAACTTGTGCAAGGTCCTGGCCAGATCTTTATCAGGGTGAGCCTGTATGGATAAGGCCTTGTCCACGGACAGCACCTTAACACAATAAAGCACACACAAACTCAATTTTGAGTATATTTGATTAATGAATGATTCTATCATGTAAAATATATTCTTAAATTGATGCATCCATGCTCCTAGTTTTTTTTATATGGTTCTTGATTTTGATATCAAATCACTGACTACACATTGAATGTGCATGAATGCAGTCTCAATTTTAGAGTGGATGTTAGAAAAAGTCTTGATTGACAGATCAATTGCCATGTACCTTGCAACTATATATATGTTCTGATATAGAGAACCTCCTCTAGAGAAACCTAGTGACAATCCAATTTCAAAACATTCAAAAAGTATAACCTAGTGTAAACTTGTCTTTTTACAAGAAAGAGGAGCATTGGAAAGAGTTTTAATGAGCCGTCTAGACGCTAAAATGTTCCGGTATGAAGAATCTCCTCTAGAGAAACCAAGAGGGCAGTCCAATTTCAAAACATTGAAAAAGTGTAACTTACCTTCTCTTAAGCCTAAGAGGAGGTTATTAACACATTGGATAGACCGACTTCCCTTGTGAGTTGAAGTTCAACTTGTTAACAGAAATTGTGAAGAGTCAAGAAACTATGCAGTTGTAAAGGATATCACTTCATGAATCCAATTAATTTTAAACTTTTTAGTGGAAAGCAGTGACTAATCTTTCCGGGAAAATGGGTATTTCCCTCCCAATATAGTTATTCCATATTCAAGCCAAGATTCGAATCCTCTAGACAATTTGGTTAAAAGACACAAGCCACTACCTCTTATATGGACCAATGTTGGTATTAATTTCATCAAATTACTATAATATTTTGTATGCTTGATAGCTTTTATGAATTGTACAAAAGAAAAACTTAAACAACACTTATTAAAAGTTGAAAGAAGTGTTTCCAGCATGGATCAAGCCACATGAAGAAAAGCCAGATCATGCTGATACCATACCTTAAACAAGAAAGGGAGGTCACCACCCCACTTCTCCAGAACCTTTTCTCCAAGCACGTTGGGATTCTCCAAAAGCCAAGACTTAAGGGTCACTCTCTGTGAACCATCAGAAACAACGAAAGAGGGTCCTGATACGTGGCTTCCAATCCAAAACTCAGCATAAGGCTGATCCTCATCAATCTGTGACCCAGAATTCATGCCAAATATCTTAGCCACGAGAGAGTCATGGCACGGTCTACCCCACTCATAGTTCTTCACTGAGCAATGAAGCCTCTGAATAGCCTTCTTGTTGTTGTTGTTGTTATTTTCATGTTGTTGTTTTGAGTTGGAGGCTGCTTCCATTGTTGAGCCAATAATGGTGATCATGCGCTGTACGTGGAAATGTTGTTATAGACGTGTGAGAAAGAGAAGGAGTTTCTATAGTTTTGTTTTGATTCAGTCACAAGTATCTCATGCTGTGTTAGTCCAACGAGTTTCGAATATTTGTTTAAGTTTAACTACCACGTCGATATATAGGGTTTAAGTTGTATTGTGATTATGAGAAAGTGGGTTTGTGATGATCGTGGTCATGGTTTGGCTTGCTGGCTTTTGAAGCGTTTGGAATGTGGACCAAGATGTTGAAAATTCCTTCTTTCAACTTTCTAGAGAATCAAACAACTTGTCTTGGTTTATGCTCCTTATCTTCTTCACTTTCTACAAAATATTGCGAATTTTTCTAGATGGAATACTTTGTACTTAATGGAATGTTATAGATATAAATATATTTTTTAGTGATTTTAAAATAAATAAATTTTGATTAAAAACTTAAGTCAAATATAATTAATATTTATTAGTGATATCATATACTAGTGTTTAACACTTTCGAATTTTTGTAAGTTCTTTAAATAAATATTATTTATTTATCTTAAAATCATCATTAAGAATAAAAATAATAATTTTAGATTTTGGAGCAATGAAAATAAAAATAAATATTTTACAGGAGCTTAAATAAAAATTCATTTATTATACAATGATCTAAAATATTTCACTAAAACTAAAAATAATATTTACAAATTTTAGAAAGATAAAAAATAAAAAATAAAATTTATAAGACTAAAATATAAAAAAAAAACTCGTTATTTTACATGAACAAATTAAATAAAATATATTTAAGTCAAAAATATATTAGGAAAAACATCAATGACATTGATATATTTTTATTTAATTGAATGAAAATTGACATTTAAAAATAAAAATAAAAAATCATTTTTAATTTAAATTTAAACTAATATTTTAATCTATATAATGCACGAGATAAAATTTTATTTTGTATAACAAAAAATTATAATAAATATATACTTTTAAATGTATAAATTATATTATAATTAAAATTTATAATAATTAAGTATCTTTAATCATTCAAATTATATTTTATATTTATCTATATCTATGATAAAGGAGATATATTTTGGTAATTACCATTTGCTTCTTCACTTTTTAGTGGACTATTATATCCCTTGGATGTAAAAAAAATCTTCTTATATCCTCTCTGAATAAATTATCTACAACTTCTAATATTTATGTGTGTATAATTACTAGAGGCATAAAATGCCTCGACCTCTCTAGTCAGTGACGAATCCAAAAATTTTAGATAGTGGGGGCAATACTTATTCATATATTTGTAATATTAAAAATTTTACATATAACTTTTAAAACTATAAATATATATTAATTATAATTATTTTTTACAAGTTTTTATATCTACAATTACGATTAAGGATGAAAATAAACTAGGCCAGATTATGTTATATTATAATTTAATATGTTTGAATCTAACTTTCTTTAAAAATACATGTACTAAATATGACATATTTATTTGTCATAGATATTCTTTTAAATGTTTGGTTAAAACTACAATCTTAAAGACCACTTTATAATAATTTAACAATAATAAAAACATAAAAATAAATATGTTAAATTTTATAAAATCAAGTTTAATTTATTTATGATATAAACATGTTTTTAATAAGTGATATAAATTTTTAGATGATAATTTATTTTAAAACATATTTTAAAATAAAAATTATAAATAGAACATAAATCTTTCAATCTTTCCTATTTTGATTTTTTTAAATCAACGTATACAATCTTACAATTTTTACAATTTTTATTTTTTTATCAACATATACAATAAACAGAAAGTACAAAAGGTAAACATGCATGCTACAGATTTTATTTTATCATATATGAGAACTAATTCCATTCGAAAGTTTGACAAATATCAAATAAATAAACAGTTCTTTCGAATTTATATTTTATACATATGATGATTTAAATATATATATATATTATTAGAATATAACTTTCATTTTTAAAATATATTATTTTTTTGAATAAAAAAATTGTGTATGTGTAAAATGGTAGTGGGGGCAAGTGCCCCCACTTAATTGTATGTAGATTCATCCTTGTCTCTAGTGATGAATAATTCATATTATGTTATATAAAATTATTTTTAAAATTATTAAATAACGAATTTAATTCTTTCAGTAATAAAAAATTCATACGTAAAAATTAAATTCAATATATAATTTAAATAAAATTAGGTATATACATACTAAATCTGTAACACCCCAGTTTTCATACTTTTATGGAGGGTAATTTAGTAATTTTTGTAAGATTTATTGAGGTTAATTTAGTAGTCCAGAACGGGTCGTTCCAAACTATTAAAAAGACTTATTTTTTGTTTCCCAGAACGGGTCGTTTCCAATTGGAACAGACCGTTTCAAACCACCAAAAAAGGCCTATAACCCTAGTTGGGAATGGGTCATTCCAAATATGGACGCTGTGTGATAAAACGTAAACTCAGAACGGGTCGTTCTAGCCACTCCTGCAATCTATAAATAGAGCACTCTGGCACTGTTTCTAGACACACTCTCTAGAGACCAAGGAGAACCAAGAGAAGGAGATCAGTCAGATTTTGCTCTAACTTCATCTTCTGCTTATTCAGGTAAGGGGAGAGTAAGAAACCTTGCTCGAGGTATGAGAATAATTGTTGGGTAGTAGGATTGGCCCTCGATCCTTTGCCTAATGCATGCTTATAGAAATAGGCAAAATATGAACGTTTTCTGTTTTGCCATCTGATTGTTTTGTTGGGTTTCTTGTTGGATGTGATGTGTAGATATGTGATTGATTTTGAGAATGGATATGTTTTGATATGAATTAAAGTGCTCTTTGGTTTCTTACGGGAAACCCTATGAGAAACACGCAAAATATGAATATTTTCTGTTTTGCTTTCTAATTGCTCTATTGTACTCTTTGTTGAATGAGATGTATGAATATGTGATTAATTTTGAAAATAGATAAGCTTTGATATGAATTAGAGTGCTCTGTGGGTTCTTTTGGGAAACCCTATGAAGTAAAATTAGGAATATGATATATGGATGATTTGAGGCATTATATGTAAAGTTGATGATGACTTCATGTTTTGGATAAGTTCTTGATATGATTTATGTACTATTTTGATGTATATGATTATGAGAAGTTTCTTGTATGAGACTATGTGAATATGATGTGAGAATGTGAAAGGTGAACATATGATCTGAGTCGGGCTATTCTTTGCACCGAGAAAATCTTTTGTTAATCTCGTTATCTCCACGGGCGCTGGGTTAAGGGCAGAATCAAACCTTGGGGAACCGGTACGAAAGGGAGCTAGCTAAGGCAGCAAGCCAAGAAAGGCAGCATAGTAGGCCTTTTAGAATTATAAAGGAAGCCAACTCTTGTTCGATGTAGGGTATTGTGAAATAATGTGACATGAGATATGATGAGATGTGAAATGTGAAATGTTGAGTCAATGAAATCGTGAATGTGTGACATGCATTATTTGCATTTATGAGCTAACCATGTGTACCTTGGGTCACCACGTGATGTAACAAGCTAATCGGGTGTACCTTTGGTCACCAAGTGATGTAACCAGCTAATCAGGTGTACCTTTTGGTCACCAAGTGATGTAACCAGCTAATCAGGTGTACCTTGTGTCACCAAGTGATGTAACATGTGTACTTTGTGTCACCAAGTGATGTAACAAGCTAACAAGGTGTACCTTGGGTCACTAGTGATGAAATGACAAGAAATGTGATTATGAGACACGTGATTGGCGCCACATGCATTTATGAGTTGAGTCCATGAGATCATTGCATGATGAATGACTGTGCATGTGTTACTATTGTATGTATAATTTGAATTTGTACCTAAATAATGTGTAGCTATGACTGTGCTTGTATGATTTGTGTGTATGTTGCCTAACTGTTATTTCTACACTTAGAACCGAGTGAGATGTTTCTCACTCCCTTGTTGTCCTTTATATGTGTTTAAAATTGTGTTGCAAGTGACCATTAACATGAGGATGTTGGTGATGAGGCTTAGGTTTCAGTTGGGCATATTCTGATAGAATATGTGACATCAAGCATAGCTAGGCATAATTAGGACTTCATTATTGTATTTTGTTTAGGAAGAACTCATGTTTCATTTTTTCCGCATTTGATCACGTTTTAAGTTGATGAATATGAATTCTCTACTCTCATGTTATTCATATTGTGGTAGAAGGTGTCACAAAATCAATTATTCATCTTTTATTTGATAATTCAATTATATTTAATTTAGTTTAATATAATTCATATTCCATGCGTTGAAGTCGAGAATATATGATATATGTATGGGCCATAAGCCCAAGTTACTCATGCGATTACTTCATATATTTAAAAGCCCAAGTTTACTTCATATACTTCATATTTTTTATTGGCTGATGATATATACACCTCTATTTTTTTTTTATATATACACCCCTTTTTTTTTAAAAAAAAAATATTAAATTCCTAAATTATCCTTAATATTATTTGGAATAAAAAAAAATTATTCTGGAAAGTGTTTTTCAAAGATTGATGATATATACACCTCCTTTTTCCTATAAGTACACCTCCTTTTCAAAAAAAATAATTAAAATTTTAAAATATTCTTAATTTAGTACTTTTTTTTACGGATCTTTCTTTTTTCTTCTTTTTTTCTTTTTTCAATTTTTACATGCACCCCGTTATCTTTCCTTCACCCCACCTATTTTGGTAGCATGTAAAAATTGAAAGAAAAAAAAAGTGTGTGAAAAAAAAGAAAAAAGTAGAAAATTGAAAGTTAAAGGTATAAAATTAAAAAATATATATAATTTTTTATAATTTAAAAAAAAAAATAAAGAAGGTGTACTTATAAAAAAAACAGGAGGTGTATATATCATGAGCCTTCCGAAAAGAACTTTCCATTAGAATAATTACGGAAAGTACTTTCCAGAATACTAAAATTATTATTCCGGAAATAATTTTCCGTCAAAATAATTATAGAAAATACTTTCCGTAACACTAAAATTACTATTGCGAAAAATTCTTTCCGGAATATTAATAGTGTGTGTATTTGTTACCATAATTCTGGAAAGAACTTTCCGAAATAGTAATTTTAGTATTACAGAAAGTACTTTCCAGAATTATTCCGACAGAAAGTTATTTCTGGAATAGTAATTTTAGTATTTCGAAAAGAACTTTTCATAATTATGTACAGATACACCTAAAAAAAAAATTTCCAAGATAATTTTTTTTATTTTAAATAATATTAAGGATAATTTAAGAATTTAATATTTTTTTTAAAAAGGGGTATATATATAAAAAAAATGGAGGTATATATCATCAGCCTTTTTTATTTCCTTGATTGCCTTAATCCCTAAACTGACTTGAAATTCCTGTGCAGTTCTTACGCAGCCCTTAAGCGATTGGAGCCCTTACGCGAGATCCGGCAGCCGTTTCGCACAAATAGTATCTTTCGAAAATAAACACGAAACCAACTTAATAGTCATAGTCAGTTAGGTCCGGTGCTAGTGGTGATAATGGAAAGGGTTATTGTCAAATGTAGTGAAAATTTGTTTTTGTTCTTTCAAACTAAACCAGAACTACAAATCTTTTTTTTTTCTTTCTTGATTTTGAAGATGACTGTAAAAGTTTTTTGAAATCGAGTTAAAAACCATTTTAGCTCCAGTTTTACCAAACATGTTTTCTCTTGAAAATTAAATTTGAAAACCAAAAACTTGCAACCATCCCAAATGGGGCCTAGGATTTTCAAAATTTCAAACTACTTTATTTGGTTTTACATGTGATACAAGTAAAGTTTTCAAAATTTGAGCTACGTTGCTGCATTAGATTCACAAGACTATGGGGGAATTTGGGTTTTCATGGAATTTTGATATTGAATGGTAAATAAATTATGGCATTTCCCTTTACTAGCTACTTAGTGATCGGACCTGATTCTAATAAAAAACAATTCCCTGATCAATGCTATTTGCAAGTTCATTTTTAGAGGCATATTTCCTTTAGACTATTGGTTTTTGATTCCATTTGTTTGCATTATGACTTATCAGGAAGGTAGTGTTTGGCCTAGCTGATTGATTCTATTTTATTTTCTTTAATTTTTTAAAGATATTTTTGAGCTTTATATTTCTAAGCTTTTGGGGCTAGCTATATCAATTTTCTTCTCTGTTAACTAGTTTAACTTATCTTGCTGTGTCTGTGTCTTGTTATCAAACAAAATTTCCTTTTATAAATAGGAGAATTTTAAGGGGGAGTGAGACCGAGATGCTAAATCTAGCACTTTTTAACTTATACTTTTAATTTGAAAATTTTAATTTTGTCAATGTACTGTTTTTAAAAGGAAGAAAACTATAGAAAACAGTATTCTTCAAAAAGACTAGTTTTTGGAGCTTTTAGTTTCTACTTCTCGTTCTTAATTCCAAACCCCAAGGTCCAAGGACACACTCCCAAAAAATTTTAACTGAAAATAATGTTTAAGCTTAAAAAATTGTGGAATTACTAAAGAGCTTTAACTTTAAATTTAAACTTCTTATTTTTAACTTCAACTTCAAAATATATATATATATATATAATTATTCTCTTGTTTAGAATTGTATGCCCAACTAAATATATAAAGAAAATGATATACTGATGTTAAAGACTTGTTTTTTTTTTTGGTGAATTGTTAAAGGCTACATTACAATCCTTTTTACTGGTGCAACTATATATCTCTAATGATGCTTCATTATTATGTCTGTTTTTCTTTTGTTACTTTTTTTCCTAGCTTGGCTAACTGCACCTATTGTTTTATTAGTTTTTAATCTAACTTAGATATGGACAATTTGTTAAGCTGGTTTATATCCATATTTGTTGAATTGGTAATTGATGAAAGGTGTTGAATACCATGTTGAGGTGATTTTGTTGCATGGTGTACATGTTGAGGTGGTTGATAGTGTATAAGTTTTGACTTCTATATTTATTATATGTTGTTTCTTTTGAAAAATAGTTTATCCTTACATGTTTTTTTTGATAGTTGGATTGCGATGATCATAAATTTCCATAAAAGTAAGATAGGGTTAAATGAATTTAGAAAGTGCCCTTAGTAAAGCCTTTTTGATGACATAGTTTTGTTGCTTGTGTTTAGTTTCATTGATGTAACCAGTTGTATAGACATTGCTAGACGAACAATTTGGATGACTATCTGTGTGTGTGTTTTTGGGATTACTTTCTTTGTGTGTGTGAGGGGGGGGGGGGGGGGGG